GTTCTTTCCGTAGCGCTGAAACAGTGTTTCGAGGAAGATACGCCAAGATAAGCACTGTGTCGAAAGACAAACAGGTGTTTAAAAAAAAAAAAGATTAATGGAGCACTTAAAAATACATCTCATGGTCCGATAAGTGGTCTGCATCAAAACCCCTAGCCATCGGGTGCTGTAGACTGGAGACTTGTAACATTCTCGCTGGAACACAGATGCCACATGCTAGAGTTCCAGCACCAGTCCCTTGCTGAATTTGTCCCCACTTGCTCAGCGACTCTTCCCGACGTCTCACAGGCATCCCCGGACTGACTGCTTGTTCTGCTTTCCCTGTAGGATGCTGCGTCCAAACCACTGGAAGTCCTGCTTCTGGAGAAGAACCGCCTGCTACAGTCTGAGAACGCCACGCTACGGATCACGAACAGTGACCTGAGTGGTAAGTGGGTGAGATCGGATTGAGGGGGGGAGGGAGCTGTGATGCTTTGATTCTTTGGGAGAATGAAAGGAGATCAGGGCCCTGGTGCGTGACCGGGACTGTGAGGATCTTGATTCGCTTTTGATATCTCTCCCTGCTTCTTCTCTCCCGGCCTCCTGTTATGAGAGAGATGTACAGAATAAGATCTGAAGACCTGAGAGGCATTTGCAAGGGTTTAGGATGATGGGAATCGTTCCGGATGTTCCGGTGATTGGCATTTTTTGAATCTGTCTTCCATTGCTGTAGGACACTTGGCAATGGTGCTAATGTCTTTTCCCCTTCCTCATAAAATAGATTTAAAGTGAATGTCCAAAGTATGTGTGCGTCTCAAATACTTAGCCAGGCTGTCAGGAAAAAACCAAATTTCCAGTGGTGCGTTTGGGGGTTTGTTGGTTTTCTTACATTTTCATTTTGCCCCCCCCCCCCCCCGTATTTCTTTTTTAAGTGGATTGGAATTTGCAGTTGAATTGGGTTTTTTTCTCTTCACATAATGGTTTCCACGGCAGTTGGCAAATGTGTAAACGGGCATCTAGGTGTTTATTACATTCTAAAATAGCCTCTTAGCTATTCCATGGGATCCTCCATGCTAATAGTCTGTGTAAACAAGCAAGAGTTATCCAGTGTTATCAAATGTTTGCTGCATTTGGGTTCAACCAAGCTGTGTGTGTGTGTGTGTGTGTGTGTGTGTGTGTGTGTGTGTGTGTGTGTGTGTTTTATCTGGGGAGGGGGGAGGAGGAAATCAAGTGGGAACGAGATTTTTTTTTCCCTTTTGTCAATGAAGTTTTTACAACGATAAATTGTATAACTGCACTTCATGTCATTGTTCTATTGTTAAATGTTTGGAAAGGGGGATTCTCCAGGCTGCAACATACAAGAAAGGTGCAAACATGAAATGCATGTTATTTGTCTTGGGGGCCTTGTTTGGCTTGACGAAAAATTTAAAAAACACAAAAATTAACTACCCAAACCGCCTTCTTCATTGGCCCTTACTTAAAACACACACAAAAAAACAACAACGGCAAAAAGCAAAAAAAAAAAAAAAAAGCAACCTCCTCTTTTTTCCCTTTTGTGGGGCAAACTCTGCATTTTGGTCTTGGTCTTTTTTTCCCTTTTTAATCCCCCATAATGCATTATGTTTGACCTTCCTTGTAGGGTCAGCCAGGAGAAAAGGGAAAGACCAGCCTGAGAGTCAGCGTCCTGCAACTTTGCCAGCCTCCCCTCCTTCTCAGTTGCCCCGCAACACAGGGGAGCAGGCTTCCAATACTAATGGTACTCACCAGTTCTCACCAACGGGTTTAAGTCAAGACTTTTTCAGCTCGTCCTTGGCAAGCTCCGGCTTACCCCTGGCTTCTACAGGAAAATTTGCACTAAACTCTCTCCTCCAGCGCCAGCTTATGCAGTCCTTCTACTCCAAGGCAATGCAGGAAGCAGGAAGCACAAGCATGATTTTTTCAGCAGGTCCCTACAGCACAAACTCCATATCTTCCCAAAGTCCTTTGCAACAAAGCCCGGACGTCAACGGCATGGCCCCATCACCCAGCCAATCGGAAAGCACCGGCAGTGCCTCCGAAGGCGAGGAAATCGACACAGCTGAAATTGCACGTCAGGTCAAAGAGCAGTTGATCAAGCACAATATTGGACAGCGGATATTTGGACATTATGTTTTGGGGCTCTCCCAAGGCTCCGTGAGCGAGATCCTGGCTCGGCCGAAACCATGGAATAAGTTGACGGTGCGAGGCAAGGAGCCGTTTCATAAGATGAAGCAGTTCCTCTCGGACGAGCAGAACATCTTGGCATTGCGCAGCATCCAGGGCAGGCAAAGAGGTGAGTGAGGCGTTGGCCACCAACCTTTCTTTCAGTGTATGTTCTCAGTAGATGGCGGGATTCAATCAGACAGCTTGCCAGACTGAGCCACCAAAGCCCTTTAGATGGTTTTCGATTTAAGCTTAAAGAGTTAAAGGCAGATTGTACATGGAAGACACAAAGGTAGCTTTGCCATAAATCACAGTGAAGCAGCAGAGTGGAAGACCATTAAGATGGTGCAAAGACACGGGGACAGTCTCCAGTGTCACCCTCATTGAAACAAGCAGGAGGTGGTGCTTGACCTTGACTTTTCGCAAAGCCATCCCTCTGTGTCCGACCTACAATTTGCCTTGCACAGATTGTATGTGGGACACACATATAGTTGCTTACCTCCTCTGCTCTTCTACAAGACTGATGTGGTAGAACTTCACAGGGAATTGGGTCCTCTGTTAATTCGTAAGAAGATTGGTTGACCATCTACCATGCACGCTCAAAGGTCTTGGGATAGCCCCAATTCATTTGACTGCAACAAAACATTTTTTAAAAAAAATACACTTCCAAAGGTCTGAAGTATATTCAGAAAAAAATATACTTTCAAAGGTCTTCCTCATCCCTAATCATGGTTTGTTTCAAGGGCTTCATTGGAAGCTATTCTAGGCTGGTGCAAAATGTGCTTTCACTGAACAGTCCTCATGGTTCATGTCCGCCATGTGTCCCACTTTCATTGTAGGACTGTTTTGAGGAGGTGGAATGGTATCTACTTCCCCTCACCCATCCCTCTCATTAGTCCAGTATACATCAAATGGACCCAAGTGAGGAGTAGGCCTTTGAAATCACGCCTTGTTATCATCTGAATGATCCTTGGGGATGGCATGGTCCAGACCCCTGCCCTCTTCAACAACCTGTAGACAAAAGGAGTCATTGAGCTTTATCACTGTGGCCCCTCCCCATGGCAGGCTCATAATTACCCACCCCACAAATGCAAGAGAAAGGGATTACGCTCCTTGCCATATTCAACTCTCGTCTTCTGCTTAAGGGCCAGGCAGATCAATAGAAAGCAAGAGCAGCAGGGGTTATATAATGTACTTCGCCGAAGCGTAAAGAAAAACTGTAGAGGGGGGAGGGGGGATGGTTATCCCATTGATCTCCATTAACAGAAGGGCTGGCACACGCTTGCAGAGGAGGCTGTGCAGTATTGAGTTGGGTGAGATGGTCCATGTAAGAACCACTGAAATAAATAACCCATCTTTGCCAAGTATTTCTTTTGCGCACTCCCACGAGAAACAGGTTTCATCGCCGACAGGGCAGAACGAGTTATTGCAAGAGAGATGGAGTTGCCACCACTCTCTCCCCTGTCCCTGGTAACGTCTGGCGGAGCACAATGGGTGCCTCGTGCTAAATGTTCTTATTTTGCCCCCAAGGACTCCGTGAGTTGGTGCTGGCCAGCCTTTTCAGTCAACCTCACTGACTTCCCGTCCTTAGTACAACCTCCATCTCATATGTAATGTGTGTCCCGTGATTCCTAGCATAGCCTTTTTGGGTAGCCAAGGGGAACTCCTCCTTTCATTTTCCTGAGCAGAAGAGATTGTTGGATCCAAACCCTGGGTCTATTGTAACAACTGGTTCATTCTTTCTAGGGCCATATAATAACAACAATAATAACAATATTAATAACAATAACAACAATAATAATAATAATAATAATAATAATAATAATAATAATAATAATAATAATAATAATAATAATATTAATACAATAATAATAACAATAACAACAATAATAATAATAATAATAATAATAATAATAATAATAATAATAATAATATTAATAATAATAACAATAATAAATAATATAAAAATATAAAGCTGCCCTATGCTGGCCTCCGGCCATCTCAGGCAGTATTGCCAGGCAGTGATTTCCAAGGTTTCAGGCGGAGAAAAAGGGACTTTCCCAGCAGCAGCTACCCAAGAATTTAGGGGTCGAACCTGGGGCCTACACCATGGAAGTCATGCGCTCCACCCATGGAGACAAAGCTGCACGGTACTGAGACAAGATAACCCGTGTAGCCCAATGTGGTCTCCTCTGACCCATAGTAACTCTCCAGAGTCAGGCGGAGAAAAGGGCCTGCCACTTGAAATCCTTCCCTGGAGATACTTAGGATTAAGCCCTTGGATTTTCTGCATGCCAGCTGTGTGCTCTGTTAGTAGGCCACGGTCCTGTCCCAATGAGGAGGGCTTTCCTGGTGCCTCTCCTCTTGTTAATAGCGCAAGGAGGTGGCGCAGATGACTCCCACTGTCTCCTATGGTCTGTTCCCCGTCGAGCTTCTCAGGCAGAATGTTGTAACTCCTTCTAGGAAAGCCAAATTTCCCCACCCGTCGAAATCGCCTGTTGTTCCTTTTCCTTGTGGTTGTCCTCGCCTTCATACTTTGTGATCAAAACCCTTTTCCTTGATTTATGCTGCACTTGCAGCTTCTTATGGCAGAAGCTAAGCTGTCTGCCTTGGGTCATGGTTTTCCTCCGTTTGGGGTACCCTCTGTAGCACCATCCACCTCATGTCTTGGGTTGTGTGCAAGCACATGGGTGCAGTGGGTCGAATCCGGCATTATTTTAGCAAAAAGGAATCTACTGCTGAAAGCCTGCAGTTCCAGGTAGAGGAAGGAGAGGTGCATACCAATGGGAAAACTTAACTACAATCTGTGCTTGGTTCAGAGTGGAATGAAATTGAGAACGGGGCCTTAGTTGCAAGGCTCTGCATAGCAAAACGGCTGTGGGAATAGAAATGCTAAACCATCCTGGGTTTTTTTGTTCAGTGGTAGCCACAGTTCTGTCAGTCTGCTTGGTGTGGAGCAGTTCCCCTACCCCCTTCCCTTCCTCATCCCTAATCCTGGTTTGTTTCAAGGGCATCATTGGAAGCAAAAACTTGACTCCCCACCAAGGGGGTCTCTGTCTATGGTGGCTAAACCAGGGACAAGGGGCTGATGAATTCCCCCCCCCATTGCAACGTTATCTCTAATTCACTTTCTACTGCAACAGTGGCTGTATGTTTAAAAAAGCATTGACAGAGATGTCTTAGGATGCTCGGAGCACTTTGTGTGCGTTGTTCTCTTGTGAGTGCAACAATCCCAGGCGTTGAGGCTAGGGAGGTTGTGACTTGCCTAAGGTCACCTGATAAGATCTTGGCAGAGGCAAGGTTTGAACTAAGGACTACCCGGTGGGTAACTTCCTGTGTAGTCCACCCTCTCCCGTGTTTTTATTCCTTTTAATGTCGTTACCTTGACTCAGAGCTCAAGGCAGCATCCCCTGGGGGTTCCTGTACAGGCAGTGAGCAGACTGAGACCTGCTGAGCTTCTGCCATGTGGCTGCATCCTGCGCCTTCAAAGCAGGCACTGGGACAGCCCTTTGCATGCCGGCGAGAAGGCAAAGGGGTCACCCGCAGGGGCAAGGCACTAAACCTTCCCCCTGCTAAGACCAGGAATAAAAATATAGGTTTCCCTTCTTAGCCGTGTCTTGGGGAGTACAAAATATCCTAACCCTCTGCTCGTTCACAGTTTGAAGAAGTTCTCTCCTTGTGAACGATTGTTGCGTATAATGCCTAAGATGATTTTAAATTGCAATAGCATTACCGATTTCTGCATTTCTCTCTCTCTCGATTCGGTCATTCATTTTGGAACTTCCGTCACAAATCCTCCCAACATTCTAAATTGATCTCGAACAGCAGAATGACCGACACCAAGCACCGAATAAGAGACTTGGGATGCTTTATCGTTCTTCCCACAACTGTTTTTCTTTTTTCCTTTTCCCACATGCAACATGGCTAGTTATACAGCCGGTCCGTCTTCCATCTTCTCGTGCAGCCCCACAGTGGCACTGCACTGGCGCAGGCTGGCCGCAGGACATTTTCTCTCTAGCTCAAAAACGCCAAAGAGGGGGCGCCCCGCCCTTTTTCGGAGCCGACGCCCATGTGGGACTCCCGCCCAACATGTCACCTGCTCTGTCAGCTGTCTCCCTCTTCCCTCAAAACTCAAAATTTCCACAAATTGAGTTGGTTCCAGCCGAAAGTGGCTTTTCCTTTATGTTGCATGGTAGCTTGGGCAAGAGGGGTTGTCCCCTGGAATTTCTCTTTGCTTGCTTGCTTTGCTCATTGGTGTGCCGTCATCTGAAAGGGGGTGGGGGTGGGAGAATCCATTTTAAGAAAGAGAGTGGGGGGTTGACCCATTTAATCCTAAAATCTCTCGGAGGCACCTCTTGCCTGGAAATCCTGTGCTTGCAAACGGGGGTGTGGGTGTCTTGTACCGTGTTGTCCTCCTTTTGCTCGAGAGCTCTTGCAAGGATTACTGACCCCTCTCCAATTTTTTTTATACCTTTTGAGAAGTGTATTTATATCTTGACTAATCTCCTTTCTTGAGCATAGCCGTAATCTTTATTAACAACCCGGCCTGCCTCGCTTCCTTTCCAAAGGGCCCCCAGCTTCTCTGGCTGGACTGGAAAAGTCGGAACCCCCCCCCCCATACTGCTCGTTTTTTTTCACCCCCTCTGCCTCTCCCCTGCTAGACCAGACCCGTTTTGTGTCGTCTCGCGGCCCACAGTTGTCAGAACCATCATCCCCTGATTGTTTTGTTCTTACCCAACTTGTTTTTCAACAGAGAATCCAGGCCAGAACCTGAGCAGGCTATTTCAGGAAGTACCGAAACGAAGAAATGGGTCGGAAGGTACGTCACAGGCAGGTGTTTCTCTTTGCAGTCGATCTCGGGGCAGTGGCGTGTGCTTAGCTTGTGTGTCTTCTGTATTTTATTTAAAAAATTTTTTAACTCCAGACACGTAAAAGGGTTGCAGTTTGATTCTGGCCTGGAATCTGATGGAAAAACAGACAATGGGCCGGTGCATGCGTAATGCCGGCTCTCTGCCAGTGTGGTTTGCTAATCAGGAGCCAGTCTTGGGGAAATCACCCTTTTCTCTCCCTCTTCTGGCGCACAAATTCATCCCTCCTGTCCCTTGCTTGTATGAGCCCACAGTTTCAGTGTTAACGTGTGCACAGATGCTAACTGTGGTTGACGCTAACCAGAGTTTTCCAGTGGCTCCGATACTGGCTGCTTTAACAGTGGTGAACTTCGGAGTGTGTGCAAAGCCAAACCTATGGGTGACTCAAATAAAGGAAGGGTGGAGGGGTATTTGTGCTGGAAGAGGAAAGAGGCATGCTTTCTTGAGGCTGGCTCCTGGTTCGCAAACCGTGGTTCTCAGGGAACCAGTGTTGGGTCTGCACCGGACCAGTAAGTATAAAACAAACCATGGGTTTTAACAGCAAGAGCTCTAGATCTTTCCCCATCTCTCTCATTCTACTGCTCTACTACTACTAACCTGGCTCCTTTGAGTGAAAGCTTCTACCTCTCCTAGACAGAATCAGATATTATTTTTCATTTATCTTGATCACACTGGTATCCTGTCGATCCTGCAAGCCCCATTTGACCATCACAGCAACTCTTATCAGGCCATTTCGGCTGAGAGAGAGAGAGAGAAAGAGAGAGTGTTTGTGTGTGTGTGTGACTGGCCTGAGGTCACCCAGTGAATTTCATGGTTGAACACAGATTTGAACCTGGGTCTCCCTAGCCCAAGTCTGAAACTCTTGCCTTCTACCCTATGTTGACTGTTCTTACAGGAAATGGCTTATAGCCACTGAGACCAACTCTTTGGGGCTTTGTTGTGGAGGTCTCACTTTTCACAACAGTAAGTAATTCTGCTATGAGTTGATACATAAAAGGAGACTCCAGTATCACAGCGATGCGCACACTCCTCAGGAGACCCGTATGATGCAAGCAGGGTTTCCTTCTACCGTGATTGTGCCTTAATGACACACAGATTTTGAAGCAACTGGTTCTAGCCCATCGGCTAAGCGGATGAGCTGTGATCTGTGAAGTTGCCGGTTCATATCTTGTCTGTGCCACAGACTCACTAAGTGGCCTTAAGAAAGCCTTTCTGTCTCAGTCTCAGTCCTGCTATTCCCCCAAATAGGTGGTTGTAATTCTGGCCTGCTTTGCAGGACTGTTGTGCAGATCAGCACAATATCGTATGTTGCAGGACTCTGAACACTGAAAGCATTGCCTATGTCCTAAGTATCATTTTTGATTAGGAGCGCTGAACGTGGGGAACCAGCACAATGCCCCAAATGGGAATTTGCTCAGGTAGCAAGTAATTCTTGCCTCAGACATCATCTTTGTGGAAGGATTCAGAGGGTCTGATATTAAGGTTCAGCTTCCTGCTGAGGGAGGATGGGATTCCTGATAGATTACATATAAAGCATAGGAGAAGATGGTTTTGTGAGGGAGTATTGAACTGTTTCTGTAAAACTGCAGTTCACCTCTGCACACTGTCACTGTACTAACTGAAATGTTTTTGGCCGTCCTTTCCCCCGCTTTCCAGAAGAGGGACCCAAGGCGGATTACCAAGAGTCCAAGTCAGACAAAATGAAAACACAACATTCGGTGACACCGATATACAAAATAATAGCAGCCCTGACTCCCTCTGCTATTAACTAAAGTCTCTCCTAAAAAGTACAGCCTTACTAGCATTTTCAAAAGCAGAGAGAGTAGAGATGCTCCTGATCTCCAAGGGAAGCCCAGTCTCTCTTCTGTTCTCAGGATTTTTCTGCTGTACCCCATAACGGTATAGGACCAGCTGCCCTCGGCGGTCAGTGTCATCTTTATTTTCAAAGGCGAAATTGACACACGTCACTTAAAGTGTTTTTCTGACTTACTCTTGTGGCCTGCTTGAAGCACACAAAAAAAAAGCAGGCCATTTTAAATGTGTGTGTGTGTGTGTGTGTGTGTTAGATTTCTGAACTGATTAACAAGTAAAAAGGTGACTTCACAGCCATGTTTCAGCCTCCCCATGCTTTGCAGAGCTAAATCAGATACAGCAGAGAGCAAGTGCAGTGCCAGGAAGCCTTGGGTTCAAATACCGCCAAGGTAATGAACTCCCTCAGGAACAGTGGCCTTAAGTAAGCTGCTGGTTTGGTTTGGTTTTTGATTTATGCTTGCCAGTTTGGTGTAGTGGTTAAGTGCACAGACTCTAATCTGGGAGAATCAGGTTTGATTCCCCACTCCTCCACTTGCACCTGCTGGATGACCTTGGGCAAGCCAGAGTTCTGATAAGAGCTGTTCTTGAAAAAGAGCAGCTCCTGTCAGGGCTCTCTCAGCCCCACCTACCTCCCAGGGTGTCTGTTGTGTGGAGGGGAAGGGAAAGGCATTTGTAAGCCGCTCTGAGCCTCCTTCAGGTAGTGGAGGGCGGGGTATAAATCCAATCTCCTCCTCTTCTTACTATATTTATAGCTCTCTGACCTGGATGACCAAAGCTAGCCTGCTCTAGTCATATCTCAGAAGCTAAGCAGGTTCAGCCCTGGTTAGTATTTGGATGGGAGACCACCCAGGAAGTCCAGGGATGCTATGTAGAGACAGGGAATGGCAAGCCGCCACTGTTCGTCTCTTGCCTTGGAAACCCTATGGTGGGGTGTCCATCATTCGGCTGCAACTTGATGGCACTTTCCACCACCATATTTATAGCAGCTCATCCTATCCTCAAGACAGGTTGTGAAACAATATTGAATACCTAAAATTGCAACATTGGGATTGTTCGTCTAATTAGCTCTGTTTCTGTAATATGAAAGTAAGCCAGTTTTTTTAAAAAAAACCCCTCTTTCCAATGGCAACAGGACTCAGCAAAGCCAGAATAGCTACAGCAGTTTTTTAAAAGAAACTTTATTTGAAATATTTTTTTTGTGCCACCTTTCCACCTAGGTAGGATCCCCAAGGTAGCAAACATCAGACGTTAAAACATTTCAAAATTAAAAGCATTTAAAATAAAGTATACATACAAAACTTCCATAAAAGTGATAAGCCCAGGCAAGCCCAATCTTGTCAAATCTCAGAAGCTAAGATTCTTGCCGACCCTGGCAAGTACTTGGATGGGAGACCTCCAAGGAATACCAGGGCTTGGATGCAGAGGCAGGCAATAGCAAGCCACCTCTCTGAAACATCCAAGCCCCACTAGGGGTCACCAGAAATCAGTCATGACCTCCAGGCATACACACACACACACAATACCCAAAAAAACCAACAACCCCAAAACCCTTCCATAAAAGCATATGAACAGCAGAATACAAAAAAAGTGATAAAATCTTGCACATCTTCCTGATGCCAGAAAGTGAGGCACTTTGGCACACCACCTCTGGGAGCGTCTCTTTCTGTCTTGGGGGCCACAGTGGCAAAGGCCTTGCTTTTTCCTCAAACCAATCTTGCCTCCCAAACAGGCAGAACTCTGTACATCTGTAATCGGGGCTGGCAATACTAGACTACCTTGCATATTGGCTCACTGATGCCAAATGTTCCTTCTCAATATGGCAAGCTCCTCTGCTCTTCTGACAAGCACAGTGCTTGTAGGACAACAAGGTACCTCTTCTTTCTGCCCCATCCCAGACCTTTTCCACACTCTGGACTGACTCCTGATTTTCTTGGCCATCAATCCACAAGTATTGGAATCGGCTGGAGCATGATTCTTCCACACATCTGTCCTCCCCGTGCATTTTCAAAGTTGTAGAGTCAGGTTATTTTCTTCCTCACATGCCTTTAATAATGAGGATTTTCAAGAGAGAGTGCCGTCATCATCAGTAATGTTTTAAGCACCCCCATTAAAAAAAAAAAAGCCTAACATTCCCAGCTTTTGTTTTGTTTTGTTTTTTGAAAAAAATAAGTCTCTAGCCTTTCCCTTTATATCTACATGTCAGGGGGGGGGGGGATAAAGTTTTACTCTTTTTTTTAAATGAAAGCTGTGAATTCAGGAAACCTTCTTAAACTATCATTACAACACTGCATCAATATATTGCTATTTTAGGGCTGTTTTTTTTTTTAATCAAAACTGAAACCACACATCTTTGGAGTGGGGGGAGTGGTTTGAGGATGACAGTAATTGAAAAGTGGGTTGAAGGTGGGTGGGACAAAGAAAACAAACAGAAACAGTACACACAAGGGGGGAAAAACGACTCAGAATCAGCTTCCAGAAAAATATAGGGGTAAAAGTGGTTTCAAAAGACCGGTGTGTGTGTGTCAAAAAGAATGAAGCTAAAATTAAAGGCATAAGAATGTGTGCAGAAATTGAGATAAACCGAAGCAGTATGACACCAGAACCAATGGAAAGAAATCCACGCTGAAAAGGCCCCACTAACCAACTTAATACTCCTCTATAAACATATATGAGCATCCCTCCATCTAGTCAAGTGTCGACTTCTCTGACTGACGGTGGCCTCTGCAGGGTATCAGGTGGACAAAAGGCTTTTCCGGCACCTGCTACCTAGATTCCATCCCCAATCCAGCCACCCAAATGTGCCTCAAAGCAGAGAGCGGGTGCCGTGCGGAAAGGAGCCTGTACAGCAATGGCTGCAGACGACCCGGTCGCACCAAGCCACACTTCTTCCTCTTGCCTGACTCTGGTTGCAGAGGGCAGTGCAAATCTGGATCAAACTTGCGAACCGTAATACAGTTGTAGCCTGGTTATCTCCAGTCCAGTGTGTCTGTGTCACCCTTTGCTGATCCCTACTCCAGACACAAGTGTCGATTTCAGCCTTATGTTGGAGCACTGTTTATGCCCGGGTGAAGTGGGGGGACCGGGATGGCTCTGGGCAATTGTGCCCAGCATTGGCTCTCAGCCTGGTGGCTCTTGGGCAACTTTCTGTGGCTCTGCCCCCCTCCCCCAATCCAGCTGGCCGGCGGACCTAAGGGCTGCAGGGTGCAATCCAGTCCACAGTCCATGTTCAAATGTAGTTGTAAGGGTGCTGGGCCCTGACCTGGATAGTCCAAGGTATCCCGCTCTCGTCAGATCTTGGAAGCTGAGTGGGGCCAGCCCCGGTTAGTATTTGGATGGGAAACCACCAAGGAAGCCCAAGGTCACTACCCAGAGGCAGGCAATGGCAAACCACTCCTGTATGTCTCTCGCCTTGAAAACCCCATGAGGGGTTGTCATAAGTCAGCCGCAACTGGATGGCAAAGGGTGTGTGTGTGTCGGACTAGGATCTGGGTGGCCCAGGTTCAACCCCCTGCTCTGCCGTGTCAGCTTGTTGGGTGGCCTTGGACCAGCCATTCTCTCTCAGCCTAACCTACCTCGCAGGCTTGTCGTCGTGAGGATAAAACAGGGGTGGGGAGAACGGTGTGAGCCACTTTGGGTCCTCATTGTAGAGACAGGCCGGGGTATAAGCGAAGTAAATAAAGAAACCCCCACCCCCACTGAATGGTCCGGGGGGCAACGTTGGGGGTGGGGGCGCAAAGCAGAAGCAACCCCACCAAAAGGCAAGGTGATGCCAGTGGATGTCATACAAAGTAGCAGAGTGGGGAGATGGAGACTTAGGATCCCACACTGCATCTGCACTAGGTAAAGGTAAAGCTTTCCCTTGCTCGAAAGCCAGCCGATTCTGACTCTAGGGATGCGGTGCTCATCTCTGCTTCCAAGCCGAAGAGCCAGCGCTGTCCAAAGACGTTTCCGTGGTCATGTGGCCGGCGTGACTAGACGCCGAGGCGTATTTCAGTTGATGGAAGGCAACTGCCTTGCCTGTCCCCTCCTGCTGCAGCCCAGAACGCTGATCCTGGGAGACAGGAGACCCATAATCATGCGAGGGGCAGATCTAGTTGTCTGCAGCAGGAGGGAGGAAATCGCTGAAATTTAACAACATGCGCCCCCTTCCACTAGCAGAAATTTACCATGGGATCCAGCCCTTTACCATGCAGTCTATCTGGAAGCCTTCCCCCCACAAGCCTCCCTGAATTACGCAAGAGCTGTTCCCGGGAACTTCACAAAGGATCCCCCCCAACGTGTGTAAAATGAATGGGAGCAAAAGCCAGCTTGGACTTTCTGCCACAGGCGCCAGAATGTCGTGGGCCAGCCCTTCGGTACACATAAATGCCTCCCTGCGTCCCAGCAGTGATGGTGGCCGCTGGAGGAATGGGGAGGGGGGAGACCTGTCAGGTCCAAAATCATGGGAGTCTGCTCTGTCACCCTGCATTAGTTACGCTTTACGTCTTCAAGTGCAATTCACACTCAGCTGTGTGTGTGTGCGCGCGTGCATGCTCCTGTGTCTTTTAAAAGCAGCCCTGTGAGAAGCATTATACTTACGGATGGCAAACGAAATAGCTTTCCAAGTTGTTAGGCGTGTTGTGTTTTTGTTTTTAAAATGAAAAATATGCTTCATCTTACTGGGGAGGGGACTTTTAAAAATCACATTTAATCGTATAGGCAGCTCCAAGTATTGCCAGGATAACTCAAATAAATGGTTCTCCCCCTGTACCCTTACCCCATAGTCAGTATTTCCTCTTAAAGATTCTCCCCTGCAACGGAAAAAGCGCTATATTTGGAACAGTAGTTTGTAGTTGGTTTTCTTTTCTTTCTTTTTCAAGTGGGAAAGAAATAGGCCTACAACTTGTGCTTTCTTTCACTAGCTGTTGTTGAGTGGGAATAGTTTTAAGTCTTTGTGATCAGGTTCTGGTGCTTGGAAGCGTCCTCTCATCTCAGAGGCAAACCGAGTTTAAGAGGCTTTGTTAGGCAAGTATCCTCCAGGGAGCTCGGAGATAGCATGCCTGGTTCCTCCCTCTTCCATGTTGTTCCTCAGAGCAATCTTGTAAGGTAGGTTAGGCGATGAGAGAGAGAGCCTGGCCCCAAGGATAACCAGTGGACTTTAGGTCAGAGAGAGGATTTGTACGCAGGTCTCCCAAGTCTTAATCCAACCTTTGTATTACCCTGCCTTAGTGATGGAGCATGTGTCTTCCACATAGAAAGTCCCTGCTAAAATATATTGGGTAGCAGGGTTAAAGGCCTTCAAGAGATGTTGCCAGGCAGAACAGACGGCACCTGGCCCAAGAGAATCTGATCCAATATGTTAAATCTGTTTAAAAGAACATTTGTTTAAAAGACACTCTGTAAGTAATTTTTGACCAGAGACTCCAGAGGTGTTCACCATATTCGTTATTTAAAAAAAGGACAGTTCAACAAATTAAAGTCATACAAAAGAATGAGGGAAGGGGGAACACAGGAAGCTTGAACAACTGAATTTTAAAATTCGGAATTCAGAATGTAAAGCAGTAAAAAAAAAATAATCCAGGCCATTTTTGAGGTGAGTATAAGGCAGGTTGGTGTCCTTACACAGAGCACAAAAATGTGGCAGTGGATACTGGTTTTGATTTGGTTTGGTTGATCTCCTACTGGCTTTGAATGAAAACCCTCTCCTCCGATGGTTAACCGTCGTTAAATTTCTCACTTTTTCCAGGTAACATCACCACGAGAATTCGAACCACAGAGGCAAGCTCCGATGATGCTATCAAATCCATCCTAGAGCAAGCCAAAAGGGAGCTACAGGTGCAGAAAACAGGTAGGGACTCACTGCCGCCCTTGCCGTTTGAGGGCAGGAGAGTGGGATAATCTATGTGGCCGGCCCCCTGCCAACTGTGTCCAGCACCAGCGAAAGTGCCACCCACAGGAGGCTTCTCTCTATATTCAAGACACTCTCCAGGTGTGCCCCAAAAAAAAAAAATGACTTGGATATTAACCAGAAGCATGGAGACCTCAAAAATAGACTGACTGGGGCTGAGCATGCTCTAGCAGGCGTAGAGTGTTGAGTGCAGTTGAGACTTAGTTAAAGAGCGGAAATGAAAGGAAAGGAAATGGGGAAACTGGCCTGCTCAAGTCCCAGAGTGTTTGTAGGGACCTGGAGGAGGAGATTTGGGTGTGGGAAATTTCCCAGTCGTCGCTCCCCGCCACCCGCTCCCTCCCTCATACCTTCCCACAGTTCTCAGGGCCCCTGGCTTGTGCAGACTGCTGCCAAGAGCCCTTTAGGGAACCTTGCTACACAGGAGGTGGCTAGCACCTTAAAGACTAACAAACATGCATTTCAGCACGAGCTGTCATGAGTCAGCATTCACTTCCCCGGGTGCATCATCCACAGCCTTGGTTACATACCTAGCCACAGCGGCGAGGGATGGGGGGTGTTGCAAAGAAAGGCTTTGACCAAATCCAGTCCAAAGTGAGCTCTGACTCATGAAAGCTCACGCTGAAATAAATTCAGGGTGACGGAGGGGTGCCTCTAACCAAATTCTCTGCATCCTCGTGAGACTACAGTTTGGGCGGGTGGTGGTGGTGGTAATTAAAGCAATTATAGCAATTAAACTGGTATAAGACCAATATTTGTGTTATTATGCAAGAAACTTTTTTCACTTTCCCAAACTAGTCCTCATCAGGGTTTTTTTTAAATCATCTCCAGTGTGGACACAAAAGCTTTGTGTTGGTGCCTGTGTGATTTGAGATGATTAACTGATACAGAAGGTAGAATGCCTGGGAGAGTGAGTGGGAAAAAACCTGAGAACAGAGAGAAGGGAAAGGACTTGTATCTGATAAAGCGAGCTTTGACTCTCAGAATCTTGTTGGTTTCTACAGTGCTACTGGACTTGAATCTAGTAGTAATTCTCAGGGGTTTGAGAGACTGATGAAAAGATGTCAGCAAACTTTCGCATTGCTTGGTAGAGCTCAGTGCTGTCCAAGGGACTTTGTTTCATACCATAGATTGGCATGCCAGCCAAATCTGCAATCATGTCCATCCAATGCTAAAAGCTTCTTGTTGTCCAAATTTATCCACTGCTCTATCCAAGTAAAGCAGATCGCTTCGTAATACAGTCTGAAATTCGGCAACTGAAATCCTCCTCTTTCTAGTCCAAGGGACTTTGTTAAAGAACACCGTGGTTGATTTGTACATAACCAAGGTACCCCCCCCCCGAGATAATTATTGCAAGGTGTTCCCTCTAAGCTGAGTTAGTGTGAGCTAGCTCAGTTTTTTAGCCTCCGGCTCACACATTTTTGACTCAGCTCAGGAAGGATGTCTCCAGAGCAAAGTAATTTATGCCGCAGTCAAATCGCTCGCTCACAACTTTAATGCCAGTAGCTCACAAAGTAGAATTTTTGCTCACAAGACTCCAGTAAATTTCTTTGCAGTACTTGAGGTCGGTATCTGTAGTTCTGCAAGAGCTGACACTGGTGCTCAGGTGGTGACCCTGGTCTCATCTGGCCCTGTCTTGTTCCTCCCCTCCCCAGCTGAGCCTGCTCAGCCCCCTTCTTCCTCCAGCAGCGGCAGTTCGGACGATGCCATTCGCTCCATCCTGCAGCAAGCCCGGCGTGAAATGGAAGCACAGCAAGCCGCCCTGGAACCGGCCTTAAAAGTAACCCCCCTGTCCCAAGCAGAGATATCCATCTTGTCCCCGAAACTGATCTCTGCATCGGCCTCCAGCTATTCTCCCCTGGCCATGTCCTTGAAGAAGCATTCGTCCTCGGTGGATTCCGGCGTCTCCTCCCTGCCGAACCCCTCTGGATTGAAGAAGGAGGCCCAAGAGGCCCCCATTCTCGATCTCCACGGTATCTCCGACTCGACGCAAGGAGTGCTGAGGCACGTTAAAAACGAACTGGGGCGGAGCGGGGTGTGGAAAGACAACTGGTGGAACACTGTGCAGCCGGAGAGGAGAAACGCAGCTCCTCCCGAAGACCCCAAAGTCGAGGAGGTCCCCAGCGGGAAGGAGAAGGCCAGCAGCCAGTCTCGGTCGGATCGTAGCCAGCAGCTCCAGGGGCCCTCCTCTTCAGACTACTGGAAGGAGTGGCCAAACGCGGAGTCCCCCTATTCCCAGAGCTCTGAACTGAGTGTGACGGGGGCCAGTCGCAGCGAGACGCCTCAAAACAGCCCCCTCCCTTCCTCCCCCATCGTCCCTCTGTCAAAGCCATCTAAACCTTCCGTTCCTCCACTCACCCCTGAGCAGTATGAGATTTATATGTACCAGGAAGTGGATACGATAGAGCTAACCCGTCAGGTCAAAGAGAAGCTAGCAAAGAATGGCATCTGCCAAAGGATATTTGGGGAAAAGGTAAGGATTTGCCTGAGTTCTCCTCTTTTTGTGGTGGTTAGTCCTGTTACGGCTGGCACTAGGCAATGGGGGGGGGGAGATTGTTTGCAGTGAAAACACCTCCCAACTTGGTACCGGGTAAACGCTGATTTTTAGCAAAGTTTATCTGTGTTTCAGTCACAATAACTGCTACTTCCCATCTTCATGGACTTACCTCGCTGCCTTATGCTAAGCCAGGCCCAGTCAGGGTTCTCTCCTCTGGCCAGGAGAGGCTTTGCAAGGTCTCAGAGATCTTCCACATCACTTACTACCCGATCCTGTTAACTGGAGATTCTAGGGATTGAACCTGGGACCTTCTGCACACCAAGCAGATGCTCTTTCACCCAGCCGTGGCCCCTTCCTGTTAGCTGATTGTGAGGTGGACTGGAGATGGTAGTTCATTATGGGGCCTTCTTTTGTTCTCTGCTTGCCTACATGCAACATCTTCCTCACGGCTACTGTGGGGCTCCCGGCTAATGTTCTCGTCTGGTCGACGTGTGAAATGAACACTGAGCCTTGAACACCTTTGAGTGGAGATGCTGATTCTGAATAAATGAATCTCAGCTAAATAAGCGCCAGAACAGAAGACAGAAGGCATATTTTGGAGATATTCTTTGCCAAGAAGGTGTTTTGTGCCTCTCAAGATGCACCTGTTTTGAGGTCTTCTCTTAAGAGCATGGCGTGGTAGCACCTAAAACTTGAGGTTCTGGTCAGTTGCCAGCTTGTACGCTGGACTGTGCAAGCACGCCCTTGTGCATGCATGTAAATAGCCACTGGTCTGGTTTCCTCCGATGAGTCAGAATGATTGCCTGAAAGGGGTGTTCTTTTGTTCCCCTACAAAGAGGAAGGGGTGTTCTTTTGTTCATTCTTTCTTACAAATAGCTACTGTGGGTATTAGTGGTAGATGGGCTGGTGAATATTTTTTTGTGGTCTTAAGTCATGTTTATTTTCAAGGCCACTTTGGTAAATGGCAGCCTATTCTTTTTAGGGCATCACTGTAGACATGTGGCAACAAAAAACAATTGTGAATATTCTGCCACCATTTATCTATTAACCGAGTATACTTGGGAGATCAGGTGCGCAGCATTAGCCAAAAACAACCCTCAGTGTAACAAACACAGTAATATTATTTAAAGCAGAAACCAACCAACTTCTGGAGCCTGAGGAAGGGTGTCCAAATTGTGCAAGGACCAGATTCTGTCTCTCTGTCTGTCTTGCTCCTCAGCCCCGTCTTAAGAAGTTGGTGGGAAAGGGTGATTGTAAGACGAGAAGAGCCTCTGCCCAGTTTGGGGGCTGCAGGTGGAGGAGGGATTGGCCCCAGATATTTGGGCAACATATCTTACCCAATGGGCACTCTTCTATTTGAACATACCTTGCTGGCAGTGTTCCCTCTAAGCTGAGTTAGTGTGAGCTAGCTCATAGTTTTTTAGCCTCCAGCTCACACATGTTTGTCTTAGCTCAGGAAGGATGGCTCCAGAGCAAACTAATGTATGCAGTGGCCAAATTGCTTGCTCACAACTTTAATTCCAGTAGCTCACAAAGTAGAATTTTTGCTCACAAGACTCCACAGCTTAGAGGGAACATTGCTTGCTGGTTCCCCTCTTGAGAAAGGAGGCAGATGCCCACAAGATGGCGACATGTTCTCCTGGCTGTCCCGATCTGGTGCAGGGAGGGGGCCAAGAAAAACCGGGGCGGAAGGAGCCCAGTGCGGGACCATGGGCTACCTGCTGGTCTCGTCTGCTCTAATCAAGCACCCTGCTGAATTTTGTCCCCTCTGTGTTTCCTTCCCCTCAGGTGCTGGGTCTCTCCCAGGGGAGCGTCAGCGACATGCTGTCCCGGCCAAAGCCATGGAGCAAGTTGACGCAGAAAGGCCGCGAGCCGTTCATCCGCATGCAGCTCTGGCTGAATGGCGAGCTGGGGCAGGGAGTCCTGCCGTCCCAAGGGCAGCCTCAAGGCCAAGGTAAATCAGTGGGGTCGGTCTGACTGGGAACCCTCAGCCACCCGTCTCTCACAGCGAAAGCTTCAAGCGTTAGCTTGGATTCTTTGGGTTTTGTATCCATTTGGTTGAAGAATGGGTTTCCCTGAAATTTGCACATGTGGGAATTCCCCTGCACTTTGGTATCCAGAGGTGGCCGGGGATTGAAGCATCATGGATAGAAATGGCAGTATCTTGCGGGACAAGGTATGCCCAAGCGTGTACACCGTGGTGGTCAAGACAAAAGATTTGCTTTGAGCAAAAACATATTCCTTCCCAGTGTTGCTCTCTGATACTAGTGTGGGATGAAACACTCTGCTTCCTTGACTTGTTGCATGGTGGGGGCAGGGAGTACCCTACCTCTAGAAGCCAGGAGCTTCCAAAATATAATGCAAGGGAGATGTAGAGAGAGTCCAAGAAACATGAAAGCTTCCCTCGCTTTGCACACCAACACTTGCGCTTTGACGCATATGCCAGAAGCGGAGGCTTCCCCCCGCTTGTGGGATTTGTCAGTGTTTCAGAACTCTTCAGGTTCTGACAGCTTGCAGGAACCCTCAAGTAACACCTACTTTCCCCCTTTTCCATTCCTTTAACTTATTTGTCTCCAGACTGAGGGCAGGTAAGAAGAGGAACCTATCTAGGTTCAAACCGATCAGCCAGAACTTTGGAGTTAAAGGTTAGTCTCTAGAAATCCAGAATGCCTTCTTCCCATTCTCAGATCTTACCCCCTTGCTCACTGGGACATTGTGATGCTTCTGCACACTCAGAAAGTCCAGGCTAATTCAGGGGACTTGCAAGCCGGATTAGCATGCATAGCTGAGGATGCCTTGAGCAGGGAAAGAACCTGTTGCAAAGCCCAGACAGTGTATTCTGAGTGGATTAATTGTACTCTGGCTCCCGACAGTCGTCGGTGGTTTTCATTTCTGACCTGAGATCTATTAAGTGGGGATAAAAATCATTTGTGCAGACCGTGAAGTTTAAGACATTTAGCAATGACTTGCTTAAGAGCAGATAACTTCCAAGTGCTCTGAAGGGAACTTGAGCTAGCCTAGCCAATGGCAAAGAGGCTAAGCCCCAGGTCAGCAAGATCTTAGTTCAAGTCTTGTCTCTGCCTGCCATGAATTCACAAGGAAGCCTTGGGCAAGCTGCGTCTGCAGTATGAGGGATATAAAGTATTATCCAGTCTTAAATATTGCAGTAAAATAATGTACAAGAAGCACCGAAATCTTGAAATCGTTATAGCGAGAAAGGCCAAGCAACAATAACTATGGCAAGGAAATGGCTACCATCTCATTATTTTGTTTGTTTGTTTATTTAGAAAAGTTTTATACTGCTTCTCCAAGGAACCTGCCTGAAGTGGCTTAGAAGATAAAACATAATAACAACATAAAATGTTTAAAAGTTATCAATTAAAATCCAGAATTAAAAACCCAGCCAGAGTATGAGAACAGGTAATTGGGAAGCTTAAAGTAACAATTTTCAGCCAGAGCATAAAAACAGAGAATTGAGCATCTTAAAATAAAAGGTTTTAGGCTAAAAGTACATTGTAAAATGGTGTTATAATGGACTTTGGGCATTCATGCGTCCTTAAAGGCCTGAAATCATGGAGTTGTCCCAGCAAATGCTGACAAGCACCATTAGGTAGCTGTTCACATCCAGAGGTCCAGCGTGGGGGTTTTCACATGTGCCGGATGTTTGCACTCTTCTTTGCGAATGTCAGCTCTGCATGCTTGACATACGCATTAACACAAATGTTAAACTGCAAGATCAGGAAGTAACTCTCTAGCGACGATTCAAAATAGGCTTTCAACTGCATAAAGCCTTTACACATTGGGAATCAGGATTTTGTTCATCCGTTTGGTGCACCCTTCCTGCTTGGACATGTGTTGGGCATTATGTTGCCACCAAAAATGTGGATTTCACTGAGTCTGGTGGTTGACCATTAATGAATTGGGGGCTGTATTGGATAGCCAGATAAATACCTCAGCTGATATCCAGCTGAAAAAATACCCAAAAAATACCGGTAAGCTTCCTTTGACAGCTCCAGCTACTCTACACACAATCATTTTAATAGGGGTCACGCTGATATCTGGTGGTTGACCATTAATGATATCTTGGTAGGCCAAAATCATGCAGTCCATTCCAGGATTTTTGAGATCAGCCATGCATTTTGGGCGCACACACTGAATTTTATGCTCACATGCCCTTGTTCTGGCACGAGGCCCATACATGGATGACTCGGGTGTGGGGGGAGGGCAGGCACGCATGGTGGACGTAGCAGGAAGATGAAATCTTGCATCCCTACCATGCAAAGGAATAGGTAAGGTATGGTGTCCTCTGAACCAGGCCGCAGAGCTTTTATCCTGGAGGAGCAAGCCAGTTTAGTTGTGCAGCTTTCCTCGCTTGTGATACTTTATAAAGCTTGAAGCAGTTTTGAGCCGACTGTGACCCTTTGAAGTCAAAGCCAGTGCCAGTGGTACTGGCAAGAAGTGGGTCGTGTGCTTCTCGTGCCTCTTCCTGATAGCCCTCCTTTTCTTTCTCCAGTCCTTCCCTCTGCGTCGTCGCTACAAGATTCCCTCCAGCAGGGATGTGCAAGCTCAGGTAATTGGCTGGTTTCTTACTGACTCTTTTGCTTTGCTGTTTCTGCTTCTGTTTGGAGGGGTGGGGGAAGCAGGTGGGCTGGCCTCCTTTCTCAACTTGTGTCTTGGAGGTAGCACCTCCACATTTCCTGGATAGAGCGGTGCGCTTTTGTGCATTTAGCCGGTATGATTCCTTCACTCTTTCTGATGGCCACGTAGCCCCTGGGGACCATGGAGGTGTTCGGTAGAATTCCATTATTGCAGCAGAATTCTGGTTTTAAGTAAGTCACTTGGAGAGCTAAAGTGCCATAGAAGCTAGGACACCCAGCCGTGAACCAGGCAGTCCCCAGTTCTGATCTTCCCTCTGACAGTGTCTCCTTCCCCATCCCTTTTCTGCAATACAGGAATAGTAATGCTGTTTATCATCAGGATTTATTATAAAGAAGGTCAGTGTGCTTGAAGTGCCACGGACACTTGACTGTGTGGCAAAAATGAAAAGTGTGTTGTTTGGTAGCTGAAGAGTGAGGACTTGCATTGTGGAGTGCTTTTCTGTGCTATGCGTCGCGCGTCTCTCATCCCTGTCCCGTTCTTGATCATTTTCCTTTTCCAATTCTTGTATGAAACCTGGTCCTAACCGTACAGTAGACTTTTTCCAGGTGCTTGCATTGATTAAAGATTGACCCAAAGGCACAACTGCGTGTTAGCTGAAAAGTGTTGAGGGCTGATAACAGAGGCAGCGGGGAAGCAAAGCTTGGGGCAGTGCCACATCTCTTCGCACATTTTGGAATTCTTCCCCCTCAAGCCAGATAGGGCCGGGAGTGGGGGGCCAGGTCTCACTCTTTGGGAGACCTCCTGCTCTGCACCCTCAGGCACCCGCTGCTGTGTCATGGAATTCGCATAGCTGAAACAGCATTTAAGGAGAATACTAGAGTGCCTCCCAGATGTGATTCCAGGTTTGTGCCCAAACCGTCACTGCAGCGTCATCGCAATGCTAATGTACCCCCCCCCTCATTTTTTTCCCGCTTCTCCACAGCAGTAGGGGTCCAGGGGTAATGCTTCCTCTAAGCTGTGGAGTCTTGTGAGCAAAAATTCTACTTTGTGAGCTACTGGCACTAAAGTTGTGAGCGAGCGATTCGGCTGCTGCATGAATTAGTTTGCTCTGGAGCCATCCTTCCCGAGCTAAGACAAAATAGTGTGAGCTGGAGGCTAAAAAACTGTGAGCTAGCTCACACTAACTCAGCTTAGAGGGAACACTGGCCAGGGGTACTGAGCAGGTGGTAAAACCATAGAGTTTCAGGTGAACCCTAGAGCATCACCCTGACACATAGATTTCATTTCCAGGCCCATGCCAACTTTGGGTGCCACAGCATTGACATGACGCCGATTATGTTGTCTGTGTCGGTCCCCGCCTCCTAGACTGTCCCAGGGTTGCATGGCTGGCAACCCTGGGTGGGAAGTTGAGCGCATCAAAATCCAGGGGGCCTGAAAGAACTTCTTTCTTTTGTTTGTTTATAGTCTGTCGTCTGTTCAGCACCGGGGTGGGCAAATTTTGCAGCCTGAGTGCCCCATCTGGGCCTCTGCAGGCTTTTGAGGAAGGGCTCCAAGTTGAACGGCGACCCTTCCAGAAACAAGAGGAGCTGCTGGCCAATGTAGAGCACTCCAAAACAGGCAAAGACACCCAGACCGGGCCGTCTTTACCACTCTGCTGCTGCTCTCAGTGGCATTTCACTCTCAAGCTGGCAAACCGTTTTTCAAGAACATCAGCCACTAGCCAAGGCTGGAGCACAGTCCGCTTTTTATCCTGGGTACCCAGTCCTCACGAGAGAGACTGTGTACACAACTGAACTGGGACTGCCCCAATGTCAAACTAGGACGCTGAGAAGAATCGCTGCTCGAGGGCTGGGATGTCCCACACGATGCAGCCTGAACAGTCAAGGAAACACTTGTGTATTTTCTGTCAGCCTCGTTCAAAATATGCAATTATATCTTTTTTGATCAGAGAGGGGAATTGGCAGGCTCCTGCTCCCATCTTCCGCACACTTATCTTTCCACCTCAGTGCTCTAACGCCCTTGGGTGAATCCTGTCGTTCTTAAAATGTACGTGTCGAATCCGCTGATCCAGTCACGAGGGAGTAAAAAAAAAAAAACCATACCAGAAGAATCTGAATTTCTCTGTACTTCCCCTCATGAATTTTTGCTACAGACTTAACTGTGTTATTGATTGCTGAAATTGGGTTCTGTCTGTCTGTGTGTGTGTGTGTGTGTGTGTGTGTGTGTGTGTGTGTGTGTGTGAGAGAGAGAGAGAGAGAGAGAGAGAGAGAGAGAGAGAGTTACACACAACTCTTATTTGAAATCCTTTATAGTAGACTTTCCCTAAAGGTGCTTGTGTGGCTCACGTAATCTGACGCAGTGGTCTGAGGGGCTGACTTGGCTCAAGGAGATGCAAGCCGTTGTCAGCCACGTGGATTGTACGACATTCTACTAGCCGCTATCACACTCTCTCAGCCTTCCTCACAGAAGAGAATGCGTTGCCCTGAGATCATGATGGAAAACATGGGATAAAGATGTACCAGGGTAGCTTTAGAGAGCCTTGCTGTTTTGACTCTCCGGACTTTGCAGCCCCCCTCCCTGTCTCTACTGCATTGTGGGTCTTTCCGGGGGGACCTGGAGGCACCAGAAATACAGCAACCCATTTGCAGCACTTGTGCATTCATGGTTAATACCATTTTGCAATGTGATAGGTGATACCATTTTGCAGTGTGCGCACGCTCTCTCCCTCTTTCTCGAAATCAAGACTGCTCATTTGTGGGTACAGCTGTGGGTGATCCCGGGAGGCCTTCAGATGTCTCTCTCACATTTCTTCCTTCCTGGGTATCATTCATCATTCCAAGTTTCACACAGCTTAAGTGCAAGTAACTGTCACGGGATGGAGGGAGGCCTTAATTGGGGGACCTAATTTAGAAGATTTCTTTTGTCAGAATTAGAATCAAGTCATATAGTGTCCAGAAATAAGGAATCGGGGCAAGGGGTGTCTGAAGCCTGTGAAGTGATTGGACGAGCTGCTCTGAGGTCACAGGAAGGTGGGGTGGGCAGGAGGACTATCGACTGTGGTAGGGCTGCAGAAATCCTGGAGGGGGACTTGGAGGGATGGAAGGATCATGGAGTTAGGAAAACGGGGGTCTTGGAGCAAATGTTAAAGGAGGGGCCACAGATCAATGGAACAGCCCCTATTTTGCTTATAATAGGTCCCGGAGAGGGAGCGTAGCGCAGTGGTCAGGGTGTAAGACAGGAACCTAGGAGACTTGCGATGAACACATCCCAGTAGGTGGGGTTCAAATCCCTGCTCTGTCATAAACTCACTGGATGATCTTGGGGCAGTTAGACCCTCTTGGCCTAACGTACCTCACGGTGATGTCAAAAAGGGGGCAAGAGTAGAACCAACCTGAGCTTCGGGGGGGGGGGGAGAAAAGTGTGTGGCTAGGAGTTCAGGCACCAGGTGTTGGGGAAAGACCTTGCCTGGCCTCAGAGAGCCACTGCCACTCTTAGGAGACAAGACTGAGCTAGGGGATTCTTGGGCTGACCCATGATACAGCCTCTTCATAGATTCACGTGGTTGAGCTGGCCTCAGTCTGGGCACAGGGGAATGCAGAGATTAACCCATGCTTTGCCATGGGTCAGCTTTATATCTCAGTGCAAATGGGCCAGAAGCCCTGCTCTCAGAAACCTAGCTACTTTCCTTTTCTCACAGCCCCCTGCTCTAGGGCAGCTGCTTGTGTTGCAGGTTAGCTTTTCCACTTGTGCCATTGTGATTTCCGCGTGGTTAGTGCCTCTCTTGCTAGCTTTCACTTTCCATACTTCACATCTCTTTCCATTCCCTGCATCCCCATATCAGAAACAGCTCTGGATGCTTTCCCGTCAAGTTTTTATTTGAAGATGACTTCAAGGGTTGCAAAGACTTAGGCAGATTTTAAGAAGAATAGGAGCTTGGAGCTGGCACTTTGCCTTCTGGAGATTTCTGGTCTTTGGGGGGTGGCCAGGAGGGGTGGGGGGGGGGGGGGTCCAGCATCTAGGGGAAACCAGCGGGCATTCTGCACTTAACTGGCAGCTGCTCAAGCAAGTCAGGAATGAAAGCCAGGTGGCAATTCTCTGCAGGCTGGCAAGAGAACTGGCACAGGGTCATGGTGACTTTGGGGTGCTTTCAGGATCCTGTCGTTTTAAAGAAGCCACAAGGCTTTTGTGGGTTGGAGAAGTTGCATCGGAAGCATGCCAGGCAAAGGGTCCCTTCTGAGGGGGTCACTCCTTCGTCGCCTTTGATCGTGTCCCAAGTCTCTCCAAGCTGTGTCTTGGACTTGAGTATAAAATGAACAGATTGCAATCCCTAAAGCAGGCCAGATGATTTTCTCACTGCAAGCTTTTCAAGAAAGTTTGCACTACAAAACTCCTGTTCCACATGGCAGGTGCAAAATGTTTTTTTAAATGTATAGCCCCCGTGCTCAGGCACATATGAAGCCGCCTTATACCAAGTGAATTCTTTGCTCCTCTCCAGGTCAGTCTTGCCTCCTCCGACTGGTAGTGACTCTCTTAGGCAGGAAAGGTCTTTCCCATCACCCGCTCCCCAAGATCCTTTCGCTAAAGCTGCCAGGGATTGTGTCTGGGACATTCTCCATACAAACCAGATGTTCCGTTACTGAACCTACTCAAGGAGGTATTTTGAATGCAGTTGGAATGCCTCATCAAACATTGTCTATGCCCACCGGCACCAGCTCTCCAAAGTCTAGAGCAGAGAAAAGTCACCACCTGCATTTTGCTGAGATGCAGCTGAGGATTCTACCATCTCATTCTTGATATCTGGGGTCCAGTTTATCCATTCAGGAGAATCAAGCTGTAAAGGACTGTACCACTTTGGGCTAGCAGTGTGTGTGTGAATCAATCAATCAAACTTTTATTGGCATATTGTATTAAAACTGACAGGCAAGGAAATACAAAAGTCATATGCACTTAGTGATACATTCTCTTAGAAAT